GGCACAATCCAAGCCCTTGCTGACACAAAGGGCGATGCTGAAGTTTGCAATCAAGGTAGTTGTGTGTGCGTCGGTGTCGAGGACTTTAGCTTCGGGCCTCGTGGGAACTGGTGATGAGACGCTGTGGGGCCCATGTTTGCCAAGTCGAGTGGGCAGGTGTTGCTATGCGTAGTTCTGGTTGAAGCCTAGATATTGAAGTGCCATTGAGATGATGACCATGAACTCCGTGAGCAGTCTTTGTTTCTTTCTGCTGGAGTTTCCCATTTGATCTTAAACAATAAACCCCGTTGCAGATCTTGCCGGCTTTGTCCGAGAGTGAGTGTCCACAAAACCTCGTTACCCTAAACCCTGAACCCCCGAACCCCTGAACCCCTTAACCCTAAACCCCTAAACCCCTAAACCCCTAAACCCCCAAACCCCTGAACCCCAAACCGCAAACCCTACCCTGAGCTCGAAACCCTCCAGAAACCCGAGGCTGCTCGCAGAGCCCAGCTGGAGCAGAAACTCCGGGAGCAGCCTCTTGGACAGCAGCTGAAGGCTTTGCATTTAGGACTTTAGGGTATCCCCGAAATCTAAGCAAAGACACTACGAAATGTGTATCTGCAGAACTCACTACATTGCACTGCTACAGACTAGTTTCCGCTGCGAAGTATTGTTGATCATGCAAACTGCGGAACTAGTTGACGCTGGAATCGCGCGGTGCGCGATGGCCGGCACGCTGCCCGCCATGCAGTAGCCGCGAAATCTGTGCCAAACTCCCGCTCGCACGTAGCGTATTCGAGCCGGTGCACAACTTCCGCAGGAGAGTCCTCGCAAACTCAGAGAACGCTACTTGGGCCTAAGCCGGCAGAAATGAACACAATCGGGGTCCAGTTGCAGAAGCTAGGGACTGCGATAGGCTATGATAGATTTCAGAGTTTACTGTAAAGAGTACCGCTGCAAAGGGACTGATCTAGCATTCAACTGACGGAGTTTCTGTGAAAGGCGCGAGGCGGAGGAGCAGGAGCGGCTCGAAGCCGAGCGCCGAGCGGCAGAGGCCACGCCGTTTGGGCCGAGGGCCATATACTTCACGGAATTTCGGGGTATTCGGGCTTACTACTTAACACAGGGTGTAGTAATGCGACCGCTAGTTTACATTCTGTGTGGGTTTTTCGTACCCGCACTAGGGTTGCGCGGATGCAGGAGGATAAGAAAAGCTTCAAAAGAGCTGACCCGAGACCTCGAGAAACGAGCTGAGCGAGCAGTGCGGCGTAATAGTTGTCCCAGCTCCGCTGCATGTCGGTTTGTGGGCCAGGAAAAGGAGCAAGCCCGTGCAGCACCCAGCTGAAAACTCTGCATCTGTCTCACCTTGCCTGGACGTCGGCGTTCGAATGCCAACTACAAGTAAGCTTTCTTGCTGGTCTTGAGGCCGGAGGGCACAGGAACAGGCTGAACGAGAACACGAGGACTGATCCTTTTTGCGTTTAGCATGGTTCAGCAGGACGTGCCAAGCCGCTTTGATTGTCATTGGCCTGTCGCACAAACCAACAACCTTGGCGGGCTGTGCGCTAGCGCTATCTTCCCTATGGTCCTGGAGCCCACGAAGGAGCGGCAGCGCGAGGTGGCGAGCTTTCTGAAGCAGCACGGATTCAGCTCCATCAACGGCTGGGTGGCCAAGGGTTGATTGGAAGTTGCTGAAGGTGGACGGACAGGCGGTATAGCATAGGGGCCCGAATAAGTAAACCGGGGTCTGTATCTGTAAGTTAGTTTTGCATTCGGGATTCCCTCGAGAGTACTCTTTACTTTCTATCTTCACAATTCAGGCTACCATTTCGGGCTCTGGTGTCGCATGGGAAAGACACAGTAAAGGAGAAGCTGATCTTGGAGGCATGCCTTGAAAGGGCGGACCTGGCTCTGCAGTTGCATCACCATGATTTGCGGCCCAGCGTGAATCGCTCTGTTCGGTCTATTGGTCGCTCTTGATCAGGTCGTCTGTTCAAGGCTTGAGCCCGAAGTGTGAGTCATCTTGCTTCCTTCGTTCGTTTTCCACCTTCTGAGGTGTCAAGAAGTCCTTCATGAGCAGCACATATCCGCTCCACAAGGCTGGGATGCAGGGATGCACGGTTCAGCTTGCCGAGACCGTCTAATTACCGCCCAGAAATGCTGTCAAGCGTTAGGTTAAGCAGTTGTGATCTTGTTTCGTGTGATGGGTAGGGGTTGCAGATGGGATGGGAGACATTGGTTATTTCTCAACATGGACGTGAGCACGACAGGCGGCCGAGCTGGGCGATGCGCACATGGTAAGGACCCCAGCAACTGCAACGGCAGCCTCGTAGTGCGGGTGGGGTGGACTCGGTAGCCACTGTGCAGCATCGCATATTTCGGACCTGCAAACCCCCCTTTGGACAGTTCTGACAGGTGGATCAGCTTGTCAAGGCAGGCGCTGACGTGGCACAGAAGAACTCGGGAGGCCTTTTCTGGGAGGTTTGGGAGTCAAGGCTTCGATTGCGGGAGAACTTGCCTCAACGGGAGCTAAAGTACGCACTCAGACCTTCCACTTTTGTATCACGTAGGCAAGACCGCTGCACAAGTCGCTGCGAAGAAGGACGGTGGGCTTGAGCGTGAAACAGTCCGAGTTGAGTTGTGGGGCTTGAGTGGTGATTTGGTCTGTATCTCGTTATATTGCTTGCCAAAATCCGAACTGCCAGTGTGCGAGGGGTTCCAGCTACGGACCCAAGGAAGACTGGTCCGTTTATCAAGACATGCAGTTTGGCGTCCCCGCAACGCTGGGCGGTTTCTTAAAGCACAGTAGCTTAAACGGACAGCTTGTTGCGCCAGAAAGAGAGTATACTCTCCCACGTGGTGCTGGGGCAGCAAAAGAATCCTAAACTTGCAGTTTCATGCCGTAGCATCATTGGCAGAAGTAAGCTTGTTTTTCCAAGCGTTCCGCACTCAACAGTCATGAGGCAAAGCACTGTCCAGTCTCACCAGGGACTTTTTTGCCCACCGTCTGCAAGGACAAGAAAGGCTCCCACAGTGCGACCCTGTCCGTGCTGACCCAGATACCCGTTCCTTGGAAGGGATTCGAACCTAGTTGAGTTTTTGTTAGCTCAGCATGCAGCTCTTCTGAGCACCAGCTTGGTGCTGATGGTGATGATAGATGGTGCTGGTCGTGATGTTGATCCGGGCCATCGTCCAGCTGACATACTGGTTACACTGGTTTTGGTGTAGTGGCAAACCGAAGCTGCAACGATCACACTGTGCGTTTTGCAGAACAGTCCGTCATTTCAAACTTCCACGGCTGGGCGCAGTGGGCTATGGATGGGCTCTCCTTTATCATTGGTATCTTTTTCTCTTCCACCTACCTGTCTTGCATACATGTATATGGCCACAGAATATGGGTGTACATGACAGAAGAAGTACACCTGTTCAAGCGTACGTGCCCAGAAAACATGTACAAACCAGGTGAGCAAGTATGTAGGTATGTCTATTTGTTTGGGGTGAAGCTACATATAGGCGAGATTCTAGGTATGCAAGGCTGACCTATTCACGTACATGGACACACACACACAAGTGTGCATAGCAGTTTCCGAAATGAAGGCTCGGGTGGTCGGGGGCGCGTGAGCCTTCCCGGGCCTGGCGTTAGGCCGTGAGGACAGGTCCGAAGCTGAGGGTACGAAGCTGAGAGTACGAGCGTCAGACGGTAATACGTTCAAGTGGTGCAATTGTAGGAGCACTTGTAGCTGATCAGTTGTTGAATCCAGCCAGAACTATCTGTGTCAAGGAACAGGCAGGTAACATGAGGTTCCTATTTTCAGATGTGCAGGACAAGGGGATGGCCGATGATCCTTTTCCTCGTGATCGCGGTCTCTGCGGGCATGCGATAATTCAGGAGAACCCTTAGCAGTCGGGCGTGTGATTTGCAGGTGATGTTCTGTGCTTGCTTGTTTCGTTCAAGCAGTCAGCTTTTGGTGGTGGCGAGAGCTGCCTTATTTATGTTGCATTTTCAGTTCCGAGATGTCAATGTATTGCTCAGTGCAGCAAGCGCGTCAAAGTGTTGTGTTCCTCAAGGATCAGGATGTGTTTCGGACGATTGCTGCCCGCGGGTCTTCTAGTAGATATTTAACGGGCGAGCCACGATGCTGGCAGTGCGCGCGAAGTCCACTGAAAGCCAGCCCATGAACAGTAGTCAGGTAACTGTCTAAAATGCGAGCTTGGCTAGGAGAACAGAGTAGAGACAGCAAGAATCACCGAACCGAGCATCGCGAACTCGACAGCTTCTTGTATCAGACGAAGAGCTTGAGAGGTAGGAAGAGTCATCAGGAAGTGGGTGCGGGCAATGCTCACAAGAATGTGGGAAGCAAGTGCAGAAAAGTAATGTGCAGTTATGCGGAGTAGCCTGAGCAAAACTACACGAAAGCACAAACATGCAGCCACAAACATCTACATAGCAAGGACCGACATAGGAGCAACCTCATCTCAGTGAAAGCAGTAGTGCTATAGTTTCTATGAGCACCTGTTGTTCCCCCTTCGGGGGCTGGCTGCAGTCTTAATTAAGAAATTTGCAGTCTTGCAGCTGTGCTTTCTCGGAAATAACACTCCGATGGTCCGTCCTGTGTCGATTGAATAACCCCTGTGTGCCATATCGAGTTGAGGTCTCTGAGGAGGCGCTTGTATACCCGATTGCAAACGGCAGTAGACAATCATTGCAAAGTGGCGGCATGGACCAATCAGCACGAAGCAGAGCCACAGGAGGCGCAATACTTGCAGCGGCAACCACCCAACTCCTAGCACAGACAGCTCGACGCAGAGAGCAGAGCATGGAGTGTAAAAACCGAGCATGCTTCAGCTGAGCCTTGCCATTGCTCGGCCCCGGCTTTTCCAGCTGGGGGCTCGGATCATGGTCTTGGGTGTCATTCGATGGCTGCACAGAGGGCAGAGACGGTCCGTGAATTTAGTCAGTGTAGCCACGTTGCCTCAAGGCAAGGCCCTCACAGCCCGGTGAGCCAGGAGCCGGCGCCATGGTAAAGCAGGTCACACCTGTGCGAAGAGTAACAGCGTCGGGGAAGGGGGCGGGCCGTGGTGCGTGGGTTTTCGTCCCCGAGAATGCCAACCTCGCCGATGTGCTGGCATCCTCAGGCTTAGGAAGGCGCCAGCAAGGCTGGCAGAGTCAAAAGGGACAGAGCTGGCAGGGACAGCTCAAGAAGCCCTTGTCCAAGTTCGCGCAGAAGCTACGTGGGACTGATCCTTCGCTGAAGGTTTGGGTTGGAGGTCTTGCAGAGGGCACGACCTGGAAAGACGTAGAGAAGCACTTCGCATCCGTTTCAAAGCCTACCTGCACAGATATTATGAAGGGTGGAACCGCGGTTGTGGCCTACGGCAGCGTCGAGGACGTGGAGACGGCCGTAGCTTCCTTGAACGGCTCAGAGCTGAAGGGCGGAGTCCTGGAGGTAGATGTCTGGGTCCAGAAGCCCAAGACCGAGAGAGCCGAGAAGGCTGCGAAGGAGGTGTGGAAGCAGCCTGCGGGGAAGCTGGTGAAAAAGTTGCCCCTCCCCAAGCAGAGCGCGGCAGGCAAGGGCAAAGTTGCCAAGGTCACGGGCAAGGGCACTAAGGGCACTAAGGGCAGTAAGGGCAAGACTGGCAAGGGAGATGACAAGATGAAGGAGAAGCTGGCGGCTTTCTCCGCGTCACAGAAGGTCTGGATCGGAGGCCTGACAGAGGCCACCACATGGAAGGAGCTGGAGGCTCACGTCGCGGTCATCGCAAAGCCCAAGCTCACTCACATCCACCGATCCACGGGGATCCTCGCGTTTGAACAGGAGAGTGACGTTATCACGGTGATCTCTTCACTAGACGGCAGCGAGCTGAAGGGCAACACGCTCCAGTTCGATTACTGGACGATGCCTGAGCGAAAGGGTAAGAAAGCCAATGTCAAAGCCGAAGAAGAAGAAGAGCTGGAGTGATACGTGCCGCATCGTGAAAGCGCAGGATTTTAGATGACACAGTTGCAGTGGGGTCGCCAGAAGAAGCATTCCCCAGAGGTGGACTGCCCGCAGCGCGCGCAAAAAGAGGTTGAGAGAGGGCGCTTTTGAGAGTGTAGTCAGGATGTTAGCGTGCGAAAGGGGTACAGCAGTACTTTAATGTCTTTGATGTCCTTTGGAGCTGCGCAAGCCCTTTACTCTTGCCAAGCTTGCTTCAAGTCTCGGACAAGCCCGAAGCACAAACATCAAACCTGGTAACCTGCTGAGGTCACTGGAGTGGCTGGTGCAGAGCGTGGCCAGTCTGTGGGACAGAAGCGCAGGATCTTGCACAGAGCGGCTTCAAACTTGGATTGTTCATTTCCTGGCTTGAGCCGGCGTCTGAAAAGAGTGCGAGGGTTCCAGGTTTTTCTGAGAAGCGGCATTTGGACTTATCTTTTCGAGGGTGTGGCCTGGCATTCGGGCTTCGGGAGGTGCCATCTTGCGACGGGTGTGAGCGGGTTGCGCTGAACACGACACGCTCAACACAGAGTAGCATGTCCGGTAGCTCCAGTGTTGAAACTGCATGACATGATGTCGTGAGGCCCGAGGTCATCGCGGGCATCGCACGTGGGTTTCAAGAGACTGCTCGGTGCCCAAGGAGGGCTCATTCAAGGTGAGTTCAGTTTTTTCTCATTATCGGATGCCGCAGCACGTGAGATGCAGCACATGAGCTGGTGAGCACCTTTGTTGTTTTGCTCCAGAGGATCATAGACTCGTTGGTGCTCAACAAAGCTATTTGGTGTTCCTATAAGAGCTGGGTCCCCATAAGCTTTCTTCCAAAAGCACCAGAAGAGCGGGAAGGTTTTCGCTTACGGCCAAACCGGCAGCGGCAAGACGCACACGATCCTCGGCTCCGCCAAAGAGCTGGGCGTGCAGGACGCCTAGGATCGCCTGCCTTTCGATGGGCGGGCGGGTTGGGCGGGGGGGTGAGGGACTCACCGATTCTGGCATGTTTGGATGTTCAGCCACATCCGCAACGTCAATTCACCTGCAGCCGATACAGTCAGGGTAGATTGAATCGAGTCGCACGTGCACTCGAACCTCAGCATACGTACTCGCTGTCGGCCAGAATGATATTCGGTTGTGTGCCCCTGTCAGCTGTGATGCGTGGTCGTCCGAGTTAATCACGGACCCGCCAAGAGCCAACATCTCCGATATTTAGTGGCCCACTAAGCATGCTGTGCCCTTCAGCCGCGCCGAAGAATCCATGTCGAATCGAGTGCCGAGGTTGCAGCTTTGCGCCCAGGAGCTGTTCCAGGCGGCCTCCTTCACGCTATCGCCTATCGCTCTCCTCCAATGTAGGCCCCAATCAGAAGAGACGTTTCAAAGTCGTCTCTAGCCGGTGAAGTCTTCGGAACGCAGGAACTTCCGAACAGCGAGGATAACGTGCCCCCTTGAGTGAGTGTGCGAGTCCAAGCCCTAAGCACAAGAGGGAGCGAGGGCGACGCCTGGTCAGGCCGTTCTGGGGCCCGAGGCCTTGCAAAGAGACGAGGCCTGGGTTCTGAGATGGGTGCGTTTCGTATAGGGGCCTCAGTGATTAGATAAATAGTGTAAGTTATCGTACGAAATAGATTCTTTTGAGCTGTCAGGACAAGCAGTGGTACTCATTTAGGCCCCTACATCGGTAGGGATCTCAGGGTTTGGGTTTTGGGATGTGTGATTTCAGACAAGATGTGGCAAGCCTGAGCTTCTGATCGGTTTGCATTGGGCTCCAAGCCCCCAGGTGCTGCCACATTTCCTCCAAGATCCTCAAGAGCCCAACATACACTCCTAGCCCAGTGTGGTGGGGCGCAGCTGTCCCAGTGACTACGGGCCACCATCCCAACGGACAGTTGTTCAACATTGAAGCGTATGATTGCCGATTCAGAGGCAGCAGAGAAACACAGGCGCATCCAGCTCGTGCGGTGCTCGGGCATTACGGGCTCATGGGCCTTAGCCAAGTCAAATTGTCCAGTCGGCATCCCATGGATCCTTCAAGCGCACTGCATTAACATTCGGCGTGCACCGGCGGAGCTTGCCCAGCTGCTGTCTGCTATAGTAGGCTGTCTTGTCTCCCCGGCTCTCAAAACGTAAAGGCTTGCGCTCGCCCGGACCATGGTCCGACCAAACTTCGGACAAGAGATTTGGTAGTGGGACCAAGCAAGAAGCAGTCAAGGTTTGCCTTGAAATCAAGAACGACGACGTCCTCGATCTGCTGCCCGCTGTCCCTGCCCAAGGTACAGAAAACTGCTAAAGTTTCGGATTGGAGTGTGGCACAGCTTTGGCAGCCACGGGTGCGGCTTCCACCTTCTTGTACGCCGAAGAAGCTCAATCAGCATGGAATCCAAAAGTAGATGGCAGATATCCATACCATACAATGAGAAACCGGAAGAGCAATAAATATCAGGGTACTGTAGCACTGTAGCAATAGAAAGAGTCTGACAACAAGAAGTTGCGAAGGATAAGGTACTAGAAGAATTCATCAGAGCAATACGCAAAAAGTAGAATGCTTAGGCGCCTTGCAGAGGCGCAGTACTGTAGGTGCCTGAATCATTACCAATACTATTTTTTTTTTGGGGGGGGGGTTCTTTTTTATAACTTAGTATAATGGGCCCCAAAGCCCTAGTCTAATTATGAAGGCCCCTAAATTATGCCCGATCTTTCGTGCTAGGCTAGCGCTTTCAGGCTCCATCTCATTCCTAAGGCCCAAAGGCAGGAGCCCAAAAGACCTGAGTGGTGCAACAGAAACCCTGGAACGGGTATGCGGGTCTTTTCAAGCCCTTCTAAAGTTTAATACGCATGTGCGCCATGTTCCGCATGTCGTATAGCCAGTTACAACGCAATCTGTGCCGCAACCCTTGTCCGATCATGAAGGATCCCATACAAGAGTGTAGAAGGCGCAAGTCGCCGTGCATTATTGTGTGCTTTTTAAGTCGCTCGAAGCAGACAGCATGCCGAGGATCCGCAAATATTGCCCGCAAGCCAGGCTGGGACAAGCAGGGTTTCGACTCTCAGCCGTGCTAAGAAGGGGAGTGGCGCAGGGAAGCCTGAAACACGATTTGACCGGAGACCAACAGAATTAACACATAATAAGGAAACCCTACAGCAACACAAGAAGCATGAAGGACAACGGAGTTTGAATTTACCGCTCCGGACACGCAGGCGTACAACATGAGGTTGTGCGTGTGACAAGAGTGAACCTGTGCTTGTTCTGAATATCTGGAGCTTAATTTCAAGCCTCACGAACAAGATGTTCAAATCGACCTCGGTCGAGTTGCTTCGAAAAATCATGTCGCTGTGCTAAGGAGAACAGATCTGTTTGTAGCACGAAGAACTGACTTGCGGCCCGAATCTGCCAGGAAGTAGATGTCATCTGCCACAAAGGCTCGTCTGCATGCATCTCTTGCAGAAGCATATTCTGGGTGTGGGATAGTCGATTCAACGGCCATTCCTGTCGTGCCCTGCTGCACAGACACCAGGGCAGACCCGGCTAACTCTGGTTGTGTGCTAGAGCTTGCAGATACAGGTGTAAAATTATGAGGACCGAGTTAACCTGCACTCTTGACAGTGGCCAGAATGGAAGAGAACGCCCAATTGCGACAGCGTGAGCACACACACGTCCACAAAATGGAATCGGCCCTTTTGTACTTCCGCTGCAGCCGTGACGGCATAGTATGGCCTTCTGCACCATTGCCGTAGCATCCTTGTCCCCTACCTAGCCCTAGCACCCTGCAAAGTCTCAGGGTCTTCCAGATTCCACGACTAGATCCATTACCTCGCCCCGAAACCCCCACAGCCTCTCAAACAAGCCGAAAGCCCTTATAAATTATAAACTCGAAACCTCGAAATCAGAGTGATTCTGCTGCCAAATAATATCCCCCCAAATTGGCTCCGTTTCCCTACAGGCAGGCGTCATGCCTACCGACGACTCACAGCCTCGGCCTCGTGCGTTTCGCCGAAATCCTATAGTTGTTATAGTACTATAGTATTATGGTAGTATAGTATTATGGCTGTATGGTAGTATAGTATTATGGTGCTATGGCTCCCATCGGAGTTCCAACAGGTGAGGCCTTTTCACTGTTTGGCTTTCATGCTGGCGTAAGTTGCTTGCCGGGTTTAGTTTGGGATTTCTCGCGAATACTTCTTGTCGGATGGCTATGATGCCAGATGGCAGGATGAGTATGAGGTTGAGGGTGGATTGTTGGGAAGCGCATGCCCCAAATTCGTAGATCTGCGAAAAAGGGTGAGGGAGGAAAGGAACCAAGTTTAACATCCACGTGGAGTTGTCTTGAGCACTTAGAGGATCAAGTCCCCTAACTGGGGTTATCCTAATTATAACCTTACGAAGTCCCAGGAGCCTTTAAATAGACCCTAAACTAAACCCTAAACCCTTAAAGGAAACCCCATTAAAGAACCCGAAAGAACCCTAACCCTAAACCTAACTTACTAAGTCCCATGATCCTCTAAGTGACCTAAACTCCCCCCTTATCGGACCCTTATAGATCCCTTAAAGCAACCCTTAAAGGAACCCTAGAGAGCAGTGGAAGCCCGGAAGCCGAACATTCCGAGACCTCGGGAGCCTTGCGGCTATAGTATGGTACTCCACCATTATCTTATTATAATACTATAGTACTGTAGTACTATAGTATCATGGTAGTATGGTATTATGGCATGATGGTATACGACTACAAGGCACCATAACCAGGCATCAAGAGGTGGAAGAGCTTCAGCCTCTATCTGAACTGAGGTGTGGAGCTATGACGAGGCTGGACGTGTGGGGTGGGTGCTCTTCCTCTCCGCCCGTGATTTGAAAGCCTTCAGCCACAAAGCATGTTAACTCTTGGAGCCCTGCTGTTTACAATCAGAGATCTCCCGCTGCCAGACCATGGCCCTCCTGCAAAAAGCCATTGCCAGCCGAGAGGTGGGCAGCCGGGACCCAAGACACACACACGCGTGTTATGCACTTGGGAAAGTGTCCGGCCCAGTGTTTTCCCACGTCCATCGTGCCTGCGGGACACTTTCACTTCAAGGCTCGCACGTGAATTCCGAAAGCTCGCGGGGGGCCCAAGCTTTCGGGGTAGGTTTGGATGTGGCTACACAGAGGAATGGGCTTAGCTGCGCTTCCCTTCGACTTAGAGTCGGCTTTGCCGGTTGCAGTACAGGGTTCAAGCGACTCAACAGCAATATCCTCAAAGGCATGGGGTGGCATGTGGAGCCATCTCGGTGAAGGTAGTCTGAGCAGAACGTCTTGGGAGTTGAGCATGCTGAGGCGATCGCACATGGTGGTCCGATTCCTGGCTGCGGCCTCATCTTACGGAGAGCTTTCGACGCATGCAAATGATTCGAACAGCTGCCGCTGTTGCATCGAGTTCGTGGGGCTACGTGCACGTGACTCCACAGACCAGAACATGCACGCTTAGATCCTTCGGCGAACCGAACCAGTGACTAGGGTTCCGTCGTGCGGCACATACACACACACACACACACACACACATATATATATATATATATGTACCTATGTGTATATACATGCGTCACATGGACATGTCTTGACACACCCGCAGCCACGCAGGCACTTGTTCAGAAGCGATTCCCGGACGTTTCTTAAGCCATGCTCCGTGTTCGGCAATATGCCGACGCAGAGCACTGTGGGCCAGATGCTTCTGTAAAGGAGCTGCTTGCCACGAGTCGAGATTGCGAGCTCCGGTGTAGTTTGGCTTCCACACTCAGGTTCTTGTAGATATACACGTGCATATATGCATGTACGTATGTATATGTACATATATATATATATATGTGTCATCATGTATGTATATAGAGATAGACAGGTCGATAGATTGGTAGATAGATAGAGGCAGTTGTTCAGGTGATTTCAGGTGGTTCAGACCCGCCGACAGACAGACACGCCTCAGGTGAAAACACTGAGTGCGCCAAACGGGCGGCTCGCCGACGGTGTAGTTGGAGGCACTTGTTGCTGTCATACCTGCTGCAATTCTCTGTGCACCGGCTTTCTTCCGATTAGTTGGTCTGACGAAAACTGCTCCTACATTACCGAAACGACCTCTTCTAACATCCTACCGAGCATGTCTTGCACAAACACTTTCTTGATCTTGTTCTGCAGTTCTCAAACCTTCGAAGCCGCGCATTTATCGAAGGCTTGACCTTGGTGGACCTGGCCGGGAACGAGCGCGACAGCACCAGTTGCAGCCTTTGAAGGAAGCTGGGGGTCCGCAGCGAGTGCGAGGGGTTGGGGGGCTCGGGTTCTGGCTCTACCCGAACCTGAGCGGGCGCTCAGCTCGAACTCATTCCTGGACTCTCATTTCAAGCATCGTGAGCTTGGGATATTTGCGTTACGGTATGCCCCAACACTGGAAGATACCGCTTGTGTCGATCTCTGGCAGAGCTGAGGCCCCAACGGCACTGCCATCAATGCACGGGCCCCAGTCGGACGGGAAAAAATTGCTTGGGTGCTTTGCATACATTTTCACATGCCGGCAGCCTTGGTCAGGTGTCCCTGACTCACCTCAATCGTATGCTGGTCAAGATGCAGGATCGTCAGTTAGACGAGCCCGGTTCCAAGCGCTCCAGGAGCAATCCATGCTGCGATGGCAGGGGGAGGAGCGATGACGAGAGCAGTCGGACTGACAGTGGAACCACCTTTACAGCGAGTCAGCATCGTGGTGTTCTGTATTCTTTTTGCGTCTTTCGTCTTATACTGGCTGCGTTGCTAAGGATAACACTTCTTGTTTCGTTGTCAGGCCATCGTGGGATACTTCTGTTGTCGCTTATCGCCCCATTCTTCCTTCCCATAATTTTGCGGTCTTCCGGCTTTGCTACCTTGTGGTACGGTATAGTTTCACGGGTTCAATATGTGGTCTTTGCTTCTAGTAGCATCACAATTTTGATGTGTTCCATGTTATCATTCAACCACGTCATGCCTGTGTATCCTTAACCTCCAGTACAAGTTTATTGACCGGCCGACGTTTCATCAGAGCCATCTCGCTTCTCAAAGCTTGGCCACTGCCCCCGGGCTTGCCGGAGATGTTGAGGATCCGTAGAGCCTCACAGGCATCAAGCCCGAAGCCTTGGACCTAAACCCTAAACCCTAAACCCTAAACCCTAAACCGGGTCAGCCTAGCTCATGGAGATTGGGTGCTTTGCTCGGCCATGCCGGAAGCTCAGCAACAGCCTCCGTAGGCTCACAGAGCTCTGGACATGCTTTGCTTTCGCCTGGCTTGTCCGAGTGTGCCTCAACAGAGCAGTTAATAATATATTGATACATATATATATATATATATATATTAATAGATGAATATATGAATAGATGAATAGATGAATATATTAATATATTAATATATTAATATATTAATATATTGATATATTAATATATTGATATATTAATATATTGATGTATGAATGTATTAAGATATTAAAATATTAAAATATTGAAATATTGATATATTAATATATTAATATGTATTACAGACCCGGTCTCTGCTGACCAGTCCGCAGCTCCGAACTGAGGAGGGCTTCTGGCCATGCCTTCCTGCCTTGCTTTGTCTGATCAGGATTTATGGGTTTGGGGACCTGCATAATCAGATGAGACACGCGGCTTCGGAAGTGATTGCGATTACTGGCTCCGAACACGATCCCAAGCTTAGGGCACTCATCATCTGAATGTTTTGCCATGGCTCACTCCAGAAAGCGCAAAATCCCAGCCCTCCCGGACGATGCTGTGACTTCTCCATCTGTGCCGGTGGGCCTGGTTTGGACTGGCATTGCCGCTCAAGGTGATTGCCACAAAACTCCGTACATCCGGGAGTCGCTGCGACGATAAATCTTCACGCAATCAGGAAAGGTAGCGTGTTAAGTCTCTTGTTGCTATCTGCCTTTAGCAGTGGTCGTGTGTGCCGGCCGCAAGCTAAGATGAATTGATCTTTGATAGGAACTCCCCCCGCTCATGTGCAGCCCAGCCTTGTGGAGCACCGAGGAAGCAAGCTAAAGGGGCATGGGCCTTCGCGGTCTTCGTGCTTGGGACTTTTGAAACATGCCGGGCTCAATCGGAAGCTTTGAGGAAGCCCCTCGGTAGAGTAAATCAGGACACATCCTTGCATGGACAGAGCCTGCTTTTCTTCAGAAAAGCACATTTCGACCCGCGCACTTGCATGACAAAGAAGCTGGAGACCCATATGAAGAGAACCCTCCAGATTCCAACTCCATGAGGACTTGCGAGCCTTGCTCACACCCCAGCCTTTCCAACCAACCTCAAGGGCTGCAGCCGTAGCATGAGTCGTGGTGAGTCTGAGCTCCTCAACTTGTCCCTCGGTTGCTTTGCACCTGAAAGCAGCAGCCTGCCATGCCGCCATGGAGACAGCTGCCTCCAGTGGCTCAAGCGACTCCACGGAGGACGTCACGGTGTCGGTGCCTGACTCGAAGTTTCTGAAGGGCACCAGGCAGTCAGGAGGTCTCAAGCAACACGGCCCCGACCGGGGTGACCTCACTACACCCTGAGGCGTTCATACATGTCTGCATGCAGATCGCTTCACTGAGGTGCTGTCCATTGCCGGAGAACAGGTCTGTTCCGCCAGGTGCCCAGTCTTTCTTCCCATGTTCCGGTTTATCAGCCATGGATATAGGGCCCCGAGCTACAATCAGGGTCCGCTTAAGTATGCCGCCATATTTTTGGCCGCGCTCGGTCCCAAGGTGTTGCTTCCCCGCGACACCACTCTGGTGGACCTGAAGGCTTGTGGGTCTTGGCACAGCTTAAGATCGAGCTGCCTCCATGGTAACAGTAATACTAGGCCTTGACTAGGGGTGGTAAGTGGCAGTGGCAGTCGTTGCATAAGCAGGGAGCAGAAGGAGGAGGAGTATATAGTAGTAAAGCAAGCTGTTTCTCCCACGAGACCTGAAGAACATCTGCAGGAGCATCTGACAGCTACCCTGGGCAGCAGCGTGACCTCGGCAGATGTGCTCTGCCATGGCGCAGAGTCCTGGCAGGACCGATCTCAGAGCTTCTCGTGGGGTCTTTGACTCGTTGGTTGCATTTGCATTGTTAGCCCTGTTCGTGATGCCAAGGCGTCCAATAAAGTTATCATCAGCATCATTGTTGCTAGCCGTATTGTAGTCTTCATACTCGTGCCTTCAGCGTCATCAGCCTTCACCCTCCGTGCAAGAGGAGCCGCAGTCTCGACCTCTCGTCGGAGTCGCCGGCTGTTCTGTGGTCTCTCGGCTGCCTGATGCCTTCACTGAGGGTGCCTGCTGCTCTTTTGGGTGGTACCAGCCAAAATAAGGAGCAGCAAGACAAGAAGAGTAAGACGCACACTCATAGAAACAAGCGCTTCTAGTCTTGCAGTGACAGTACCAATGCTTGTTCTCCTTACGTGTTGGTGTTTGTTGTGATGGTGATTGTGGCGGTGGTGCTCCATTCCTGACACAAGCGGCTATGTCGGAACTCGGAACTGCGGCCTTTCAGCTAGGGTCGACATGGGAGCCACTGTTTCCTTGCCAGAATCCTCGCCGTCAGAATCCTGAACCTGCGAACCATGCTTACCTACCTTAATGGCATTGCCTCAGTCCAGTCGCAGTAAAGTGAGAGCCGAAAAGGGTTTCTGGCTCAGGTTCGGTCGAATATACTGTCCTTAGGCTCCAAATTCTATGCTCACTATGACATTATGAAGGCGCCTATGATAGAAGCCTAAATAATTACCAATACTGTAATACTATGATTAAGGCCCCTAGATTATATCAAAGAACTCAGCGGCGCAGCCCAGCTCCAGGAAGTGACGCTGGTGAGGCACCAAGGAATCCACGCGGGAGATCTGCGGCGGCCTTGGAGAATTTGATCGGCACGGTGTTGAGCAGGGCTTTCTGAATTCTGATATACAAATACTAGTATATAATACTAGTATATAGTAATAACAAGAAGACTGATAACATATATCAATATAAATATAAATATAAGTTAATGAATATATAAACATATAAATACATCATTACATATAATGCTGTTATATAATCATCGGCCTCTGGTGACAATCCAGTTGGTGTTGGCGTGAATCGGAGTTGACCTTGACAGTGAGGTTGGCAGGTACACGTCCTATTCGCCTGTTCCATCTGTGCTAGTGTTGTCTATAGACCTCGCCTTTTGTTGCCCGAGTGTTCGGGCTGCAAGAAGGCCAGCTCGGGCCTGTTCCTGGCAGTCTATGGAAAGATGGCGCGTGCAACTGCGAAAGGTCCTTCCAACCCAGTCGCATGCCTCATACCTAATCTGGGCATCTAACCACCAAGGCTCTACTATTCAGGACACAGCATCGTCGTCCGCTCCGACGGGCACGCGCTGGTGGAGCGCGGCATGAGATGTAGGGTGATGCCAGAACGAGGCACTGGTGGATTTTCTTCGGAGTTCGGTGGGGAGTATCAGTTGGGTGGCAATTGCAGCAGTGAACCCAAGCCCGAACGGTAAGCTCAGAGGTGTCACCTTTCCTGCTGTAAACGTCGCAAGCAGCGCATGTCTGCCGTGATGGTCGCAAGCCTTCATCCCTGACCTTCTGCCCTGGCCCCCAGCCTTCGCCGAGAACTACCACAAAGTCTTCGTCGAAGAGGCACGCTGTGAGCTTAGCGGTTAGGGAGCACCGGGCTTGGGGGTCCCAGCCTCACAGGTTCCATGGGCACAAAAGATTCCACTGGGCACCCAGCTTTCTCTTCAACCGGCTCAGCGCCAACCACTCGCACAAGTCACCGAAACCCTGAACCCGAAGCCACCGCTAGAACAGGGTTTTGGGGTATATAATACTATAATTGTAAGAAGGAACCCTCCAAAATGGTATGGGTAATCATAAATGCCCCTATACAGTTTTCTTGGCCAGGCCGGGGCAAGAGGAGTGAAAGCGGACATCCATGCTGCACACCTCTCGCGGACCCCTCCGGCAATACCTGTCTCGGGGAAGGTGAGGACTGGGGAGGGCTGTACTCAGATGAGTTCTGCATACGTATGCATGTATCTATGCATACATGTTTGTATGTGTCTGCGGTTGTGTATGTATGCACGTAGGACGTAGGTAGTAGGTAGGTAGGTAGGTAAGTCTTTAGGTATGTAGGTAACTATGCAGGTAGGTGTGTCAAACTCTTCATTTGGATCTGTGTCTGTTGATGTCTTTGCCTGATGTCTATTGCGGAAATTGTTAGGTGGTGTATTTCCCCGCCAACCGTCGAGGGAGTTCGCCAGTCCTGGATGAGGTGGGCGACGTCTTCTACTACACAGGTCCCCCGCGCCTGGGCCGCGATGGTGCAGAGCTCCAGCCGGGCGAGCAGGGAGAGGCGCCTTTCGCTTCGTTTGTGATCCGCGTGAAAATTACGGCGGGATAGGCTGAAGTTGCTGCGGTCGTAGTCGCAAAGAAACAAGGAAAGGGGTACATCAGAGCAGGGAGTGCAGCCGAGTTAACAGTTTCCACAATTCCAAGGATTTGAAGCCTAAGTTGTAACCTACAGGGAATTACTTGGTATTTTCAGGTTTCAATGAGCCTCCTCGATAAGCTGCGAGACTGCATAGCACATTTCCTTGCTCTTCATCGTGTGTCCCCGGAGGTAGCAGTCAAAGCTGACAAAGACCGTAGAGCTCAGGGTTTAGAAGGTTCAGGGCATATCCAATTTCGAGATGATCCTTGCCGATGTCTTGGTGCTCTCTGCAGAGTCTTAGCCCTGACCATCCCCTGACGAATTTGATGTGGGGGTCCGAATTAGTACCAATAAATCAGCAGGATGAAAGTTTTGTCGTACTAAGATTTCTTTGCTTGGCGCAGGACTCGGAGTACGAAGAAGTGCATTTTACCTGGCCTGGCTAACAGAGGATTTTTTTTGTTCCGACGGCGGAATTAGTGACGTCCTTGCCTGACATCGCGGCTTCGTGAAGGAGTCTATGGGGGAAAGGGGTTTGCAAGTATGTGTTAGCAGACCTACCAGATGCGACGAACCTTCGTCCTGGCGCAGTAGTGCCCCCTTTAGTCCCTATAGTACAACATGCCCCCAGAACCCGGTTCTGATTGTGTCGGTCCCCCAACTCAGGGGTTGCAAAATACTTTGGGATACAGTTCCTATTTCCGACTGACTTGGCCGAATTTTGCCCAAATCTGTAGCGCCAAGCGAACGAAGCCCTTGTGATGAGTATCAGTATGGTCCTGAAAAAGTTGCCTTCTTCGTTCTGGCCGCACCCTGTTGCGATTGGGTTTGGCGCCCGAAACCTTACGTTCAAGACTGTACCAAAACGCTAAATTCGTAAGCCTACGTGCAATCCTCCTACTGCACGGGACTGGATTCTGCGGTTGTGCTGATCAGTGCACGATTGTCAGGTGGTGGAGGAAGGAGTGCTTCCAGGCCTCGGCTTATCTTAAACTGGCGTAAACTCTTAACCGAACCACCACAATTAAGCTATATCGTCACTCGTGACATTTTGATACATTCACTGTTTTGAATCAAAGATGGCGAGAGAGAGAATCAATATGTATGGTCGCATGCACTGATGCACTGTGCTGTGGTGTCTTATGCAGTAAGGTTCGGATACTGCTTTGACTTAGCAACAGTTGGATAATATTCCGTTTTGATATTTCAGGCCCTTGACAGTATCCTGTGTCGACGGTTGCTGATGGAGGCAGTACCCAAAATAAGAGATCTCACCACAGTGCGACAGAAACATTCTCACAGGTTTAGGGTCATCGAGGGCTTCAAGCTCACCATGCCAGTGACAGTCCATCATCGTGGGACGGTCTCGAACTGCAGCTCAAACAATTTTTCGAGCATGTGTTTGGAGGACACCGTATACAATCCGTATAAATAGTTCTTTACATGTTCGTGGATGATGAATGGGTGGATACACAGATTATCTTATGAGATCTGTCTGTCTATCTATCTATCTATAGACAGCATAGTTCGACAGTTTTATGGTGTCATGCGTAGCTTGGCAATGTGGCATACAGCATCTGGTATGGCATGAAGTTAAGGTTCGGGACATCGAAGCAAAGGCTCGAAGAAAAATGCTCAAGAGTGAGGCGTCTTGAGGCCAGACGGAGAGGCAGACTTTCTCTTCGAGTTCTTCCGAGTTTGATGTGTGAAGCGGAGAGGGAACAGACATGCTTTGCCCCGAGACCCTGAAACTCGCCGCCTTCGTGAAGGCCCATCCTAAGCTTCCGTGTCCTGCCGTACACCAGATGAGCCCAGACTCCCTTCAGAAGCCCTGCACCTGGTTATGTGGTTGTGTTGTCCCCAAGCACAAGAAAGAAAGCAACCATGGGCAGGAAGCCTCAGGTTACGCTTTGCGAACTTTCCGGATCTCTGCTCCGTGGAGCGAAAGGGGGGGAACGGGCCCGTTGAGGGTTTAGGGTTTCCGGCTTGCAACAGCTGGCATGTAATTACAAGTCTGTGCAAAAGAGTTGGCAGCAGGCCCAGCTGCAAAAGGGTGGTTTTTGGGAGGATGAGGCGCTTGGTAAAAGCGTTAAAACTTATGATCAGGTTCGGAATGGGTCTCTTGTTCGCAGACTGAATGGCTGTGTCTCAGTGAGTTTGATCATCCGGTGCAGCCTTTCGGCGAAGTAGTAGAAACCGCCTGAATTGCGTTGAAACAACAGCATCTACTGACCTGGAGCCACGCTTCAGAGATTACCTGGATAGAAGTGCCAGTCGCTCGAATGCTTCGAACCAGTCCATGTTCTTGTTTCAGCACTTACACATATCTGGACTTGCGACACTGGACGTTGAAACGTGCCGACGGCTGACCAAGAGCTCCGCTTCGCGAGCTCAGCAGCATGGACGCGAAACTATCTTGGGCTTCTGGGACCGCATGGCCTTGAAGACTTCCACAGGCGGCAGTCGACGACGCCGGAGTTCCCCGCAAGACTGCACGTGCCGTCCAAGGACCAGAATGGCAGTGGCGGCCGACGAAAGTAGCAGCAAGGCTTTCCATGGCACGGGAACACAGATGACGGCGGTCAAATCACCGGCAGCTGTTCCTTGCAACTGAACCCGGGAAAGCTGCAGAATAGCAGCAGTGGCCGTGGCAGTGGCCAGTGCTAGTGGCAGTGCAGCGGCAGTGGTGGTGCCAGTAGTGGAGGCGGCAGCGGCAGTGGGGAGTGGGAATTGGAAGGGAAAGGGAGTGGGAGTGGGCTGCAGTGGGAGTGGGATTTGGGGGAAGTAGCAGAAACCCCCCTCTACGGGCCTTATTAGCCCCAACAGATTCGCACGGCAAGAAACCGCTGACCCGCGTGGCCACAAAATGCAAAGAGCCAGGAGTGCACATACTACCCAAGCGTTCGCTTCCCAGCATGAATTATGCCGAAATGCTTGTGTTTCGGGAATGCAACCCGCCATTGCAGGAGCTACGCCATCTTCGTCCTGAGCCTCCGCCAGTGCTGCCGGGGCAACAGCCCCAAGAATTCGATAAATTGGGGAGAAGGGTGACCCCCTATTGGCAGAATTCCAGGAGAGCTGCCCGATTTGCTTGACGTCTGAAGTGTTCAATAACATCCATTCCGAGTTTTCCCGTCCAACCTCTTGCCTCGAGTGCTATGAGCAAAGCCCGGCTGAATTATCTACTGGTCAGCCGATTGCCGAGGTCCTGCTTACTTGGCCTTTGTGCTTGCCTGCGGCGTTTCTCTGCGTGGCTCTGCAGGCACATCTGCTGCCAGCTGCTGTGGGGTGATCCTCCAGTGTCGATTCCTCGAGTGCGTGTGCAAATCTTTGTTGAGTACAGCTGTTGAGGGCCGAAGCACCATGGCTCGAAGTTCCAGATGTTCCGAGCCATGTTGTTCACTTGATTTTGATTAAAGTTAAAGACTCATCGACGCTTCAAAGGCTGATGCCTTGCAGGGTTTACACTTTTCAAGATCCCAGCCGAAAAAGCGTCCACGAGCCACAGCATTGTTTTAATGTTTGGCACCCCGAACGAGGTGTATGTGCACTGTGCAGAGGCACCGCTTGTACGCTGGCAGACAATCTGTATACCTGTGCAATTGCCTGGTGTCGTGTGGTGCCATGGCAGAGACTGAGAAATCTGTGGACGTCCCCGTGACAAAGACGCCCAAGGAGACGCGAAACTGCAGCTTCAACTGCGTTAGTTTATGGGATGTCCTTCCGCATGTTTCGCAAGCTGCTGTCTACACAAGCTGCTTAATCGATACATGCGGTATGTGAGGCCGACGCTTGATTCAAGCCACGCTGGGTCATGGCTTCTGGTATTTTGTAGTGCTTGCGTGCTACGATTTTTATCGGCTCTGTCCCAAGCATAGAAGAGCCCCCGCAGGACAAGAAGGCGGACTTCGACCAGTTTTTCGCTGAGCTGCGAGGCGGGGGTGTGGCTTTCGTCCGGGAGCTGCTGACTTCTATATTTTACATATTATGTTTATATATATATATATATATTATGTACAAAATTATGTATAGATATGATTATTACTATTCCGGTTTCGAAGACCAGCCTCGGAGGGTTTTTGTACCCTAGCGAAGCGACATCGAGGCCGAAGCCAGCATTATGAAAAAAAGCGGCTGTGACCGATCCTCCCGAAACTACCGGACTCTAATACTAATACTAATATTAATACTAATACTAATACAAATACTAATACGAATACTAGTACTAATACTAATACTAATACTAATACTGATATCAATACTATTACTTATACCCGGACTCCCCAAAGCTTCCCAAGGAGTGCTGAAGCGTTCCCATCAGGAGAGCTCGGGGACGATGACTTCCGCAACTTTCTGATCACCCTCAGCGGCGGCGGCCCGCGCCGCATTCCGAGCCCTGGCTTCTCGTATGCCGGTGTTCGGCTTGCTTCGATTGGGGCTGACGTACTTTCCTATCAGGTTTGGTGCCTTTTGAGTGAATGGGTGTGATGGCTGCTAGCTATTCAGTCTTCACCGTCCAAAGCCATGGCACGCTAGGCGACCAAAGCTCGCACGTGGAACCCAGGTACCACCCGCAGAAGTCCCTCCACAAGGAGCTTTTCGAGCCCAGGCTTAGGGTTTTTGTGGGGTTTGGGGTGGGGGGGGGGGTGTTGGCTGTAGAGTCTCACACCCGTGATATGAATGATCGCCGGGGTGCACCGAAGGGCTTCGCTAGAAGAGGCTGGAAAGAAGCCCAGGACCCTCAGCTCTGGCGGCGCTGGATCGATCCCCGTGTGCTGTCCTGCCTGTCCAGGCTGAGCCGTTTGGGGGTTTGGGGGCTTTGGGGCTGCAGGGTTACAGGCTGCAAGGTCCGCTTTTCCTTAGATCCGAGGTGCGCAGCGTTTGTGAGTCTGTTAGGGTTTGTCATACTGAACATCTCGAGCCCCTTTAAAAGAGAGAGGTTGAGGGTGTGGGCCGGTGTTGGCATGTAGGTTTGCGGGTTTTTGAAAGCTTTAGGGTCTTTCTACAGAGTTTCTGGAAGGTTTAGGGTGTTAGGATTTTAAGACTTTAGGATTTTGCGGCCCTTTATAGTTTCAAAGAGACCGAGAGAGTCGCAGAGGTGGCACGAGGCTGGAGAGCCCCGAGAAGGACTTGGTCAGGTGGAGCCTTGCCTTCTTCAGCGTGTAAGGTTTAGGAAGTTTAGGGTTCGGGGTGTAGGGTTTAGGGTTTCGGAGTTCAGTTTAGGGTTTCAGAATTTATGGTCTTCTCTTCCTCTAATCTTTGGATCTATTTTGCTTTCGCAGACTGCTCGTCTCCTCCTGCAAGTCAACATGTGTCCAGCATGTCGTCCTGAGGAGCGCCAAACCAGCCCCCCTTCGGAACGTTGTTGGTACCGTGCAAGAGGGGAGTCGGAATAATTGCTGATAGTATCCCCTGGCAAGTCCCTCCATTCATCACTTTATGCTCTACCCCCAAACCTTATTCAAAAACTATCGGGCTTTATAGCCACTATGTACCTCTTGTAGAAACCCTGATAGAACCTATTAAAGGCCCAAAGGAGCCCTATTCTAATATTTCAGGCCCCCATAGTAGTCTCGAAGCAGTGGAGCTGAGAACTTCCAAGGACCTCAGCACGCTGCCGGGTCTCCAGGCCAGCCCTCTGAGTCTTGAGATTTGTAGATGGTAGAGGCCAACACCCCTCGACCCTAAACCTCCGACATCAAGCGGAGAGACCCTGAGATCTCGTCTGGTAAGTCCGAGATGTGAGAGGGCAGACCCTACAAACAACCCTGCGGTCACGATTTAAAGAAGAAGTATATCCATCTGTATATATATATATATATTTATGTATATATCCATATGCACACAGAATTACCAGACTTAAAACATGTAAAGTTATACAGCATATGATGCAGTCTAAGATTTAGAAATAAAGCCCTAATGCAGGTCTGTGCCCCGGGGCTGGTGAGTTTCCCCTTCTTCACGCACGAGTTTTGCGATCTGGTTGCTCGGCATAGAGGCTTAATGAATATAGGGGCCTTGATGACTACCTGAACAGGGTTCCTTTATAGGGGTTTTAATAGTCGCCTATGGTATTCTGGTGGGTTCCTCGTTACAACTAGAGTATAATGGGTCCCAATCTGATTATTAGTAGGCACCGATGTTAGAGACGAAAGCCGGATCTCAAGGCTCAGAGAGCCCACGTGCTGGGAGAGCTTCGGGCCGGGTTCGGGGAGATTTTGGAGCTCCTGGTTTTGCGGTGTTTCCATGCCTTGAGGTTTTGGGGCTTCGGGCAACTGGAGAGCTCAGTAGCGATGCAGAAAATGGGCTATGGGCTGCGTTGCATGCGGACCCTAAACCCTAAACCCTAAAACCCCTTTTTTTTTTTTACCCTAAAACCCTGGAGGTGAATGCATCCTATAGCCTTGGTTGCTGTGGGAACCGAGGTCCTCGACGAGGTGCATCATTACCAGGAGACTGCTGGCTAAGGGCTTTAAGCCGCTCCTTTGGTTTCGGGATGAAGGGCTTAGAGTGCTCACTTACTACTTGATTGTGGTGGAGTGTTCGTCCTGGCTGAGTCGCCGCAGGACAGTTTGCAAACGGGTCTAAAGTGTGAGGTGTAGGGGCTGGTGACCGGGGCCTCAACAGCGATCCAGTGCGTTACAATTCAAACTTCCCAGGACCTCGGAATGCCAGGCCGGCCGCCCAACACCATGCACCCTGTTTGCTTGATGGATAAAGGGTGAATATGCCCAGGCTTTGGCATTCTGGCAGGATTTGTTCTTTTTCTTGCATGCGTGCATTTGCGAGATCGAACCCTCAGGATCCTGACTGAACAGCTGCAAAGTTGCACCACCACGCTGAGGAATAACTATGGCCTGGTGTTAAACGACATCGGCCTGAAGCCTGTTTTCAGCATCTATGGCAGTTCATTGGAGCTATTGAAACTTGCAAGGTTGGAATCCCGATTCTCGATTGTCTTTCTGTCTTTCTTTACAGAGTAGCGGTTTGCTGGTGCTGCTTGGATGTGCTTTTTTTCGATTCATGACGGTCGTTTCTAAGTCATGTGTGGTAATACCCGGTACATGCCAGATGGAGGAGCTTCCGGCCGGTGCTCATGAGTCATACCAAATACGCAAGTTGAACCATGATGAAGCAGTGCCTCGCATTTGGAAACAGGCGTTGGGGTTTGTGTAGCAGCATGTAGCAGCCGCTGCAATCATTGTGCACGACTGAAGCGCGCAGTTGTTTGTTTTGCATTTTGGCTCTGTGCACCTGCATGTGTGTGTGTGTGTGTGTGTGTGCATGTATGTATGTATGTATGCGGGCATGCATGCACGTGCGCATGTACGTTTGTATGTAGGTGCGTATGTACGAATGTATGTACGCATGTATGTACGTATCTACGTATGTAGGTATGCAGGTATGCGTGTGTGCGTATGTGTGTATGTATGGCTATGTATGTGTGTATGCGTATGCATTTGTGTGTAAGCATATGCATGTATAGATAGTCTTACACACATGGGAGCAAGAACAGACCATCCTGAAGAGAATCGCGAAGGCCTAATGTCAGCAAAGGCAGCATCCTGGAACACGTCCTGCTGCCATTCGGGGCTCGCATCTTCGGCTCCGAGGCCTCTCCATTCTCCATGTGGCGTCTCGCAGAGAACCCGATGCCAAGTCTTCTAAGCCCTAGAGAACGTTTTGCAAAAAAGGGTTTGGGGTACGAAACTGCAATCCTTCTGTGCATTTTGTGTGCTGCACATCCAGAGACAGACGCCAGCTCCTTCAGAAGAGTTTGGGATTCCCGCTGCACAGGAGGATAGGCTCGACGAGCTGAAGGGCCAGAAGCTCTGCACCGAGACTTGGAAACCTTCAGGGCTGTTGGTGGAGATCGCGGCTTTTCGTGTTGTGCGCCAAGGGCTGAGAGTGCAGGAACCGTGAGACAATGTTTGGAATGCGTTGCGAGTAGTTGTTGAGTGGCGATGAAACAGCTCGTGCTGGATGCTTGAGCCTGGCTGGGAGTTCAGAGCTCGAAGCCCTTGAAACACAAGCATTTGAACCCCCAGGAGAACTGGGGAGGTTCTGTCCTGGACGAGCACCACACTTTTGTGGTACAGTATGCGTCGCTCGATTTGACTTCCGCTGGCCGTCAGAATATCTTGTCATAGATAAAAAGATAATGAGAAGGCCGGGCAGATGTGTTGAAACATCTTAACTAATCCTTGCAGATGCTTGATCCTATTGGTCACTGATGCTGTTTTGGCTCATTCCTGCAGGACT